ACCCCCATCCTAAAGAACCATTGGATTGGAGAAATGACCGTTATTTTGAAGGAACTCCGTTAAAAAATTGTGCGCAATCGCGCGAAAACTGAAAATTCTTCATTCGGGCCCTCTCCTGAGGGGGTGAAAACACTAAAAATCCGGTTACAATGAACTTAAGGGAATGAGACGCCCCTTATTGAAGTAATAAGATTACATTTCGACTTCAACTTGGAGCGAACCGCATAAGACCTATCCATGTTTAACAATGAGGTTAGGGATTACCGCATACCTTGTACTTTTCTGACTTCTACGGTACACTACATTATGACCCCTGACAGTCCGGTACGGAAGACACACACCAGTAACATTCAGTTACAAGGGCAGTAACAACCATTAAACACGAACGAACAGTTTGTACGGTAGAACCAATATTTTGATTTTGAAAGAATCCAGAATCCATAAAACTAGAATTCGTGAGTCATATTCGGACGACGAGTTACACAGCGACTACTTCTGCGAAACGACAAGCACCAACCGATTGGTTCATGACAAAACTGCTAGCGTGATAGACAACAAAGATGCGTCCGTCACGCTTTCTGTAAACCTTCAACCCAATTGGTTGATTAAAAATTGAAAAGACTTGCGTGTGCGACCTTGATTGGAATGCCGCTGTGGCGTTTGTGGAAGCTTGCAAAACGACAAGGAACTCAGTCAATCTATCGGTTCATGGAAAAACTGCTAGCGTGACAGACAACAAAGATGCACCCGTCACGCTTTCTTTACACCATGGACCCAATGGGCTGACTGAATTTCTACGATTGAATGGACTTATTTGTGCGACCTTGATTGGAATATCGTTGGGGCGTTCCTGAAATTTGTGTGTGCGTTCTGCGTGTTTGTGTGCTCTACAGAGCGTGGAGAGGCGGTCTCGAAACACCCTGGCTGTAGTCCTCGGAGACATAGCGTTTCGAGACGTCTCTCGCACCCTGTGATGTTGTCGTGCCGATATACGTCGGAGACCACTTCCGAACCACAAGGAATGAGATGCGTCGATTTGCTCACCCGCTTGTCTTCCCACAGTACCCGATCAGAGTCTGCTGTCAACGCGACAAATGTATCCAGTCCAAAAACCCAAGGGAATAGTCTAGGATGTTCCCCACCACGAGAAAGCAATTCAGAGTTGCTTTGGTGTCCACAATGAATTCATGTATTCTCGTTATACAATAAACGACGAAGTAATTTGCTGGGTGCGTTGGAACCATATAATGGATGAAAGTGTCTTCAAAGAAGCTGTTCTTTACGTGCTTTCGGTCACTAGCATACGATCCAATCTCTCTCGGCCGTCAACGCAATATCTTATCTCTCCGAACTGATGGCGGACTACAAATAGAGGAAAATCAAAACTTCTTTCTTTCCAATACAGCTCTACCAACTTGGTTTTTCCTAATTGTAGTTTTGATGCCTTCAATATTTATTAAAGTGTTTTTTTTTTCAAGCATGCACTGAGCCAGTTCCGGGGGAGAGCTGGACATCAGCTCTTGGGCCACGGTTCATGTTCAGAAGTGTCGGTTTCAAAAATGTCGTGTTCTGCAAACAAGCCTTGGATCGAAAATCGATAGTATGCATGCATTCCTTTGGAAAACCCTAGATCACTATCGTTCCGGAACATTCGCATCGCTTCGTTGCCAGGGCAAGGACCAGACTGGCGAGTTATTGGTGCACGAAATCGTAAAGGAACTCGTCCGCGGCTGCATCTCTGACTATCACTCCTTTGTGCTTCGTACTCGTTTCGTCGCGCAATATTCCGCTTCAATCCGCCGGAACGGCGCGAAGCAGCTCCGCATCCCATACGATAGACATAGTTTGCACAATCCGGGTTCGGACCTCTTGATCCTTTTCCTCACTCTGTCTTCGAGTGGCGTGTGTAATCAGAATCCTGCAGTTTGCCGCGGCAAACCCGATGCCTTTCGCGTTTCCAATTGTTCTCCCTTCTCTCTCATCCCCCTTCTTGGTCTAGAAATCAAAAGGAGGTTATGTGCCCCCTTTTACCGAGTTTCTGGTGCTGCGAGCCTGCCCTTCCCCAGTTTTCGAGAAATTTGACCGACTCGCATGTAATCTTGTCACGCGATAACCGTTAGTCGCGCGCGGGGGGAACCTAAAATTGGCGATTTCCAAAGAATCCTCCGTCAAGCCGAAGAGCGAGTTGGTACCGGACAGTACGGAAGTTCTCTACAGGACATATTGTATGTACCGTAAACCATGTATGGAATCTTTCCCAAGACATTCAAAGCCTAGTAGTTCTTCCAGCAAAAGAATCGAACCATCATCGGGTCCAGAACCACTACTGCCGTGTTGATCGCAAAGGAAACAATTTTACATACCTTATACATGCAATAGGAGAAGGCGAGATTGATAGAGAGAGAGCGAGTATTTGATTTTAATTTGATTTAAAGAACATACGTGTACAGCCTTTCAGGAGAGAGACATTGATAGGATGTTAGCCACATCGGCGATCATGGACGATGATGATTTCGCTATCGATAGCTATGAGGAGGAGGAACCGTTCGACGAGCCGAAATCCGAGAGGAGAGTGACACGAGTGACCATGTCCACTACCCCCGCAAATGCGAAGAACGATCGCGTTGGCGATGAGGCCGACATGCTTTCTTGGACCGGAAGCGATCTGGACGACGATGGAAATGCCCAAAACGGCACGACGAGCTACTACGAAGAGCGCCAGGATGCGGGATACGATCGAAGGACCAAATCACACCAAAGCAATAATCATTCAAGCATCGAGCAACGAGATGACGTGGATAACGATGAGGTTATGAGCATCCACTGGAGTGGGAGCGATCTTGATGCCGATGCCAACGTTGAACAAAGAGATGACAATGACAGTCGAGATGAAATGAATGAGTTCCGTGATACCTATCAAGAGCCGAGTGAACGCTACGACAAATACGCAACGGATACAGCGCATGCTATTATGTCGATCAGAAAGGATATTCTAGAGCAAATTGAAGAAGAAATCGAAATTGACAAGTCGAACTCGAAGGAACGTCAACAGCAAAAAGAGCTTGATGATGTACAGAACAGCGGAAATGGCGGTCCTGCAATTCGAAGGACCAGGAGTATTGATAACGCGTTCCGCCAAACGACGAGAATGATTGACAACGCAGTAAACTATTACACCAAGAGTCCCAAAATCGGAGACAATTGTTCCATAGCAGCGGGTTCCGTAGCAGCGGGTTCCGTAGCAGCGGGTTCCGTAGCAGCGGGTTCCATAGCAGCGGGTTCCATAGCAGCGGGTTCCGTAGCAGCTTCGGTAACAGCGAGAACCAATAACACCAAGCTGGGACGCCCAAAACTCATCCTTCCCCTGGCAGATGATTGCGATGATTCCGCTATGGGAGAGCATAGTGTTATGACCGCCGACCTGCAATCTGGTCCGAACATGTGTTCCGTCATGTCACTGTGCCAAAATAAAACGAAAACGAAGGTCGACCGCCCCCCACCTCTAGTCACGACCACAGCTTTGAGCAGGGACGAGGAAGAGGATCTGTTGGACCGTTTCTTCGAAAATCTCCAGAACCGGACTTGCAAGAACGGTAAACTCAATCGAAAACTCACAGACGAAGAAGAAGAAGGATTGCTCCGCGTTTTCAATCCGTTCTTGAGTCGTCTTGAAACTTTTGATCCTGTCTTCGAGCAAATGGAAGAGCTCGTTTGTCAGAAAGAACATCATAGCAATCACGAAAAACAAGATACGTGCGGGAATTTGAACGACAAGTTGGTAAAAACTCCCGTAGCCTTTGCCGCTGCCAAGTTCAGTGAACTGCTCGATCGCGTTGAGCATTTCGACCGGTGCTTCGCCACGATGGAAGGCACTGAAAATACTCAAGACGATTCCAATGACATGGAACAGAAAGAGACAAGTTTCAAAAAGAGAAACAAACTCGAACAAATGAAGCAAAAATGGTTCGCTGCGAGATTGAATTTCAAATTGAGGCAAACGATGCTGGCAGAAGTGGTGAAGCAAAACACGGCAAAAGCAGCAAATGCCACAACCAAGTACATGGATTCCGTCGTTGCGAAATGCACCGAGCCGTCAGCCAAAAAAGGTGATGTCTCTTCCGATGAACAGAAGAACGATACGGTGGAAACTTCCAAAATTTTGAATGCCAATAAGGGGCAAAATAAAGACTGTGATAGAGATGAGTCGATCGGTGACGAAGCATCCATTGATAACAGTGACTTCTTTTCTGTAGAGACTCCAAGCATTTCTATAATGACTCCAAGCGAGCATTCGAACATCAACTCTGCACGAGACTTCCGATCCTTCGTCATGTCACCTACGAGGACAAACCTCACGGAAGTGAGCAAGGACGAATCGTATTCCGACCATGTTCTAAGGTCGCCTGTCTGCTTGTCACCAGAGTCCCGGCTCGCAGAAGATCTGTCCGACTTTGGTGGACCCTCCGATGAAGAAGAAAACAAGATAGGTGTTTCTACTCCGGGGCGTTTAGCTGTGATTACCGAAGAGGTCGACGCTTCGGAGAGTTCAGAATCCATATTGTTGAAGAAGAAGAAGAGTCAAACGAAAAGCGAGCGATCTTCTTCTAGGAGTAGGGGGGGAAGCAAATCACCATCAAATCTTAAGCGATGGACATACATTCCTCCAGACGTCTCAACATTTAATTCATCGGAGTGGTTGAAAAAATGCCAAGAAACCGTGGAGTCTGTCAAAGAAACTGTCGAGTCTGTTTACACTGTGTCAGAGCGTTTCATTCTTGACAAAGCATCATGCTCGTCTAGCTCAATCAATCTATCGGACTCTGAATCGTTTGAGGATGACCAAAACCAGAATGGCCGAAAGTCCGCTAGAAGACGAATCAAGCAGCAAAATTCCATTGTCGAGGAAATAGAAAATGACTCGAACTCTGAATCGTTTGAGGATGACCAAAACCAGAATGGCCGAAAGTCCGCTAGAAGACGAATCAAGCAGCAAAATTCCATTGTCGAGGAAATAGAAAATGACACGACTAATGGAAGGAAGAGTGAAGAATGGAGAAACCCACAAGGTAGTTACGAGGATGATCTCAGCGACTTTCAAACAGCCGTCGGCACTTTCAGTTCCGAGCCTACGGACGAAAGACCCCCGATGCTTCGACTTCAGAGAAGCCGCCATGAAAGCAGAAGCTGCGGTAGTCATTCCAAAGAGGCACCGAAATACAATGGAGCACCAAGTCAAATGTCGTCGGAACTTCCAAAAGGATATACCTTGGCGGATAGCATTCGACATGCTGCACAAACTGCACAAACGGGAGGAAACGGAAGAAAAGAACCACGTGGCAACAAGGTAAAACGTGATCCTAGTGTTCACATCCGCGTCAGCCAACCTAGTGTTCACAGTCGCGTTAGCCATACCGTTCCTCAACCTGCTGAACCAGAGAAACCAAAAGAAGATCCCGAACCAAATCCAGAACTTCAACAAAAGATTCGAAGTCCAAGATCTTCCGAAACAGAGGACACTGCAAGATTGACCGCGCAAACGACATCGTCATTCGAAGATATAGACACGATTTTCGAGGATATTGACACGACCTTCGGCGGTATTGAGGGCGAAGAAAAGAAATCGGTGATCATATGTGTCGAAAGCCCGAGTGCGATATCCCAGAAGGCCGAAGACAGTGTTGAAAGCCCGAGTGCGATATCTCACAAAAGAACTGTCTCGAAAGAATTTCAGGATGAAGACGATAAAAGGACTGTCTTCTCGACAAGCACGGATTCATTTAAGGATTGCATGAGTAGATCAACGACAATGACAGAACGGGAAGTTTTGAATGACAATAAGACTGTGTTTTCTATCAACACAACCGGAACGACGGGTTCGGACTCTTTCAAAGACTGTTATCAAGATGCGATTCCATCCTTGACTACGATGGACACCATGGTTGAGAAAGCAGAGACTTCTTCTCCAACAATCTCGGATAAGAATTTGCTCAAAGAAAACTCCAATGCATCCACTAAAGTCATTCCATACTCTTCTGCTGAAGCATCTGCACAGGCGAATTTGGTTACTACATCCGTCGCTGTACTATCAGTTTCAGCCGTAATTCTCAGTGCTACTCCAAGCAACCGGAATAGGGGAGATTCTAGTAAACATAACAAAACGACACCTCGCGTGGACAATTCCACAAACGCTCCGAGAATGAAAGACACGGGAACACCCGACAACCTCGAGTTGGAACTCAAAGGAGACCCCGACAAGCAAGTATTGGAAGCTGTGGAAGATTCCGATGCGCAATCAAGGGCTAATGAAGCAGACAAATCCAGTTCCAAGTCCACCGACATTAATTTATCGCAAGACGATAAAGGAAACGAAGGCGAATCGCAACAACTGTCTGTGGTTGAAGACGCAGCAGCCAATGAAGAGGAAGTGATTCAAATTGTCGAACAGGAAGAGGGCAAAGAAGAAACCCTCGGTCATGTTGACGAAATAGAACTAGGACCACCAACTAATCAAGGTGTTGAAGAACCCTCGTTGAAAGAAGATGATAATCACGTCGAGGAAATTGATGAAACTAAAACAAAGAAACAAACGATAGAAGATGACAATTTTGTCCAAGACAGTCCCCTCGAAGAAGAGATCCAAGGCGATCTCGACGTGATGCAAGACAGCACTCTCGAAGAAGACAATATCGATGAAACGCGAGAAGAAAAAGCGATGGAAGAAACACCGTCGCACATCGATGTCGATGACGAAACGATGGAAGAAGGACCCCTTGAGGAAGCGAGTATCGAGGAAACACAGGAAAAACAAGGGGAGGAAGAAGTGATGCTAAAAATCCAAAGCAGTGAGGAATCGATGAAAGAAGAGTCGGTTGAAGAAGACGTCGTTGAAAGCGGACACGTAGGAAAGGACATGCCGGAGGAGACGGAAACTAGATCGGAGCCTGGCATCCTCGAAGTCATTGAAGAAGAAGATGACATTGCGAATACCGAAACACTGTCTTCAGGCACCGAAGTTGAAAACGAGCCAGAAGAATCACTCTCCAGTTTCCTCAAAACAATGGAGGAGGAAGAATGTTTTGTAGACGACGATCAATCCTTTTTGGAACCCAAGGACGACCAATACGAGGACGAAGAGGTCAGCAAAAGAAAGTTGGGACCGAACGGCGAAGCAGAAGAATCGCTTTCGACCTACCTCAAAGCGATTGAGGAGGGAGAGGAAGAAGCGGACGAGACGAGCGTAGAAGCAAGGGACGACGATGATGAAGTAAATGAGTCAATCTCAACCTTTTTCAGAGGGATGACTGAAGAACTAGGGACTTCCGAGAGCAAATCATTGCTCGAACCAAAATGTATTCACGACGAAACGCTGTCGGCCTTCCTAATGGACGATACAGAAACACGCACCAGCGACGACCTTAGGGATGACAGCATGAACGATGAGTCCATCTCAAAAATCCTTGAAGATTTATCGATGGAAGAAAAACAACCACCGATCCTCGAGCAGATGCGAGCCAAGAAATCGCTTCAGTTGGAGAATAGCTATTATTTCAACCAAACCGGCACCATTGAAAAGCCGAAGCACAGGTACAAGAAGGCACTGAAGAAATCAAGAGGTGAAACTCATGACCACAACCAACATAGTGGAAACGCGACGTCCGCCCCGCTGACGGTGGAGGACCGTCGCCAGCGAAGATTGCGGCAGAGACGCAAGTTTGAGAAAGTGTTGCGCGGCGAAGACGACTCCTCTGCTGCGTCCTCGTCCTATGCATCGTCGGGCTACAACACCGCTAGCACCAAGCAGCAGTCGTCTTCGTCTGTTTCCGAGGCCGAAGATTTCGACAACCACGAGGCCAAAGACTTTGACGCCCCCAACGCTCCACTTTTTTCGTCCAGCTTTGACACCGCGTCCGTCGTTCGAGAATGGTAGCTTTGCTATTCCGAGGAAGTTGTGCGGGGTGTTGCATTTCGATACATGTGCGTGGATATAACAACCTGTAAGATATGAGTGTGTCTGCTGTACACCAATGGCATGCTGCAACGCCATCAAATGCTCCTACTTTCGTGACCGAGGAGTAATCTATTATTTATTGTTTCTTTCTTACTATTAATAACTTTTTATGACTACTATTACTATAATACTATTATTAATAGTAGTTTTAATGTTGAATGAGCCGCTTTACTGGTCTCAGCCTAATCATCAATTTCATTATGACACCAGCATATTGATTCTGGATTCCAAAATTCTCTCTTCGTTATTATTTTTTTTTGTTCTCGCCCCCAAAAAAGCGTGTCGCAGTGTAAGCGTATCTTTTCGAACTAGATTCAATGCACTTTTGAAAAACCCAATTTTTGGAAGGCATGCCACCTACCGGTATGTTTTGAATTCTAAAAAATAGTTTTTTGCTGGGGTAGGATTCGTACGGCCGGGAAAACAAGTACTCGTACGTACTATAGTGTACCGAACTATTGGCATGTCCGTTCCAATGGAACCCAACCGACACCCAACGCCGGCGTCCTCCTACCGTAGGAAAAACGTGTCTCGTTCTTTAAATACTGTAATACCAATGATTTGAAAAACAAACAGACGGTATGGTAATACCTGCGCGAGTGATGTGAATTGAGGAACAACGAAAACTAACTTCAGTTGTCTGCTTTTTCGTAACAGCAATTGAATCCTCTCTTTGCAAGAACACTTTGGATCAGCGAAACAGCAACAGAAACGCTCACGAGTACCATCAATTGCCCAAACCAGCATTCCGCAGTGCACACCTCCACCATGGCCGACGAAAACAACAGTGAAGAAAACAAGAACATCACCACCGAAACCATCAAGTTTACGGAAAACAATGAAATCGTCCGCAACATCCCCGACTGCCTGGATGGAAAGATGAAGCTGGAGTACTGGAACAAATTCTGCGACGACTGTGATGAGGCCATGAAACCAATCGGCCGCGTCACACTCGTTAAAAGCCTGCTGGCTTTTGCCTGTTTTGTTTTTGGCATCCTAGCGGCTTCCGGATTTAAGTTTGGGGATATCGAGCTCTCCGCCTACTACGGCGTGGTGGCACCGGTGACTATTATCCTTATCTATTTTTGGTGCCAGGTCGAGGCCTACGCACACAAGAAGGCCGCCTCAAAAATCCACAGGGCATGCTCCGAGGTCGGGAACTACATCAAGGGTTTGACGCTGACGCTGGAGGACGAAGAAGTCGATTGGTACATCAAGATCACCATCAACAACGCGCTCCAGCAGCAGGTGGAAGCGGACGTCGAGGCCGCGGTACCGGCCATGGCGGTCGCTGCCGCCGTGAGCGCGACGCAGTCCGTTTCCGCCGTGCCCGTGGCGATTTCCTCGGTGTCGTCGAGCAACAAGGCACCAGAGAAGTACGTCAAGGACGAGGAAACCGGCAAGATGAAGCTGAATCCCGAATACAGGAAATGGATGAACGCGAACAAATAGAACAAAGCAGATGATATGATGAAGGAAGGAAAACATGTCTGAGAGCAACGGAAATGGGCGTGTAAAGAAAGGAAACGATGCGAATGAATGAATGAATATGAATAAAATATAATTTTCTCGCGTTGGAGATGCTGTGAGCACAGTGAAAGGATGCTCATGCCGAAAGAGTAAATATAAGAAAAAGCCAAGCGACAGTGGATAATGAAAGGAAGGATCCAAACAGATACGATTCTCCGCTGGCATTTACAATATTATACATCCGATTGCGCTCCAATTGTTGCTTAAATGCATCGGGAACACTACAACAACTGTGAATCGATCCCTGTGAACAACAACATCAGATACTATATGTCCTACATTGAGCTATGGGCATGAACAAAAGAAAAGGATCATTGTCGATAATAATAGCATGTATTTATCGTGTCTAATATGTGTGACAGATGCGTTGTGAATGTTAATGCCGTTCGTGTAGGTGGTGGTCGGAGTTCCGGCGGTTTGCGTTTTCCTGTGTCCCTGCACGGCGCGGTCCGTGCACTTCATCGTCCCACTACCCGCCGGGCGGTGAGCGGACGGAAAAAGTCGTCCACCATGACCGACGAAAAGTACGATTCGGTTTCGAGCGAACCGCCGTGGAAGGCGTCGAGGTCTTCGACGATCCATCGCAAGCGATAGCGCTTTTCGAGGCGTGGATCGGTCTCTTCCAAAGGCAGTGGTGGTGGCGGAAGCACCACCGAGACGTCCCCCGGAACCCCTAGGCGAACGGTGGTTGCGTTGCCGGAACCACCATCGCCGTCCTTGTGTGTCTGGTTCGAGGCCGTGGCGCCGTCCGTGGTGCTTCCGACCATTGCCCCGGAAAAGGCATCCGGCCAATCCGCCATCAGGACGATGCGAGACTTTTCGTTTTGGATCCAGGCCAGGGTGCCTCCCCGCTCGTTCCATGGGTCCTCGCCGGACGACGACGAACGGCGCGGAAGAATCCGTTTTCGGGCCTTTTTGTTGCTGGCGGTCGCAAAGCGTTTCCAATCGAGATTCCTCCACTCCGATTCGACGCAATAGCTCGTGTGGTGGGGACCGCTGGATCCTTCGTTGTGGTTCCGGCGTCTGGGCCCGACGAGGAGGAGCTCCCTTGCCTCCCGGAAGGGGGTTTGCAGAGAAAACAGATGGGAGGAAGACCCTTCCCTTTGGGGAGCGGCAGGGAAGGATGGGTTCGGAAGGGTCTCGGGCGCGAGGACCATGTCGGTGACGCCATCGTGGTCCCACACCGTGCGAACGAAGCGGGCTCCGGAAGGCGACACCACCCTCCGGTGGTTGTGTGCTGGAACCGTGCATCGCACGAAAGCACCCGGTTCGGGACTTTTGTCCCGAATCGGGCCGTGGCCGTCGGCCGCTAGGTCGCTGCTCCATGTTTCGCGCATGGGATACACCATTCGGTTGTGATTCTTGTGGGTTCCATCCTCGTCGTTGCTGCCGGCACCGTGGTGATCGTCAACGAACGAAAAGCAGGTGGATCGATTGTACGCGGTTTCTTCCGACGAAAAAGGATGCATCACACTGCCGGAGGTCCCCCAAACGGCAGCAGAAGAAGGCTTCCCAGGGTGCTTGCTCGTCTCGTAGAAATTGGAGGGAGGCAAGAGCCCCCTCGCTTGCTGTGTCCCGTGGTCCCAGCCCCAGCCGTGTTGCATGGCATAGACAAACCGGCACATGCGGCACACGAAATCGGTCTTGGTGAATGCGTACTTGTCGAGAAACCTCGAGTAGTAGTAGTCGTTTTCGTTTTCGTTTTCGTCTTCGTTTCGGGTCTCGGACGCACCGGCGATGGCATCGTCAAGCTCGTGTTGAAGCCCTCGGTCGTTGCCGGTTCCGGTGCTGCTGGTTCTCTCGTCGTGTCTGCTTTGTGGAGCTGCCCCGTCCTTCTTCTTCCAGGCATGGTACGACTCGTAGAGCGTCCGGTTGTGGGCGACCTTCCACAAATGGTCGGCCAGCGCCGTCACGTTGATGTTGTGCTTCGTCGGGTCGTCCTTCTCGCGGTCCAGGGAGAAATCGCGGACCACTACCACACTGTTGGGATGGGGGAGGTGGTCCCGGACGTTGGAGGCCCCCCAGTATACGGGGATCGTCCCCTCCTCCAGCGTCTGCCACAGCTTCTCCGTGATGTAGTCGTCGACGTTCTGGTTTTCGAATGCCAGGTGAAAGAGGTAGTGGCGAAGAATGTCGGATTTGGGGCTGGTCCCGGAGGTGTTGCCCGGGAATCCGTGGGGGGCGTGGGGAACGCAATCGCTGAGGGAATCGAGGCGAAAGGAGGAACGGTTTGCGGCATTCGCAGCAGCAGCAGTAATAGTAATAGTTCCGTCGCTGTGGTTGGAGGCGTGGTTCCTTGTTTCCATTTCCCGGATGAGGTCTCTCACGAGATCTTCTCTGTGGTTGATGGATCCGCAGTTCCTCGCCAGGAAGCTCGCTCCCTTGATGCCCTGGTCAAAGCCGACGGTGGGAAATTTCCTCGGATCGTTCGCGGGGGCACCCCCGCCGTTCCCACCGGCCGCAAGACCGTCCGCGTCCGCGTCGGCAGCGTCCAGCGAATAATACGTCAGGGGGACCTCGGACCGAAAGGACGTCGTGGCGAAGAATTCCTGCGACCTGTGGGCCTCCCGAAAGCGGCCCACGTCTAGCCCCGAGTAGTACCCGGATCCTTCCATCGAGACCGCCCGGAAGCGAAAGGGCGTCCCCTCGACGGTCGCAAAGTTTTTGTAGGTGTACATCTTTCCCCACTGGACGCAGGGCACGTTGCATTGCTGGTCCGACAGCTGGTGGTAGTGGTTGGTCAGGAGCGGTTCGTCGACCTCGTAGCCAAACCGCAGGGTCACGGCCGGCATGGCTGGCTTGGGTGTGGTTGCGGTTGTGGTGTGTTTGGGATCGGCCGGAGGGGCCGGATCGGCGTCGAAGAAACGGGTGTGTGGCCACAACGCGCTGCCGGTGCTGCTTCTTTCCTCTGCCCGGCCGGCATCTGTGTGTGGTTCTGGTCCGAGTTCGGGAGGGCTCTCGAGGGCGGCCAAGAGATCGCTATTGGCACACACCACCGACAAAGTAGTGTTAAATTCAGGTCCGCCATCGATTTGTGTGGCGGTTTTGTTGTTGTTGTTGTTGCTGTTGCTGTTGTTGTTGATGATGTTGCTACTGCTGTTGTTGTGGAGCGCTAAGGAAAGCAAAGCAGCGTCCCAATCCTCCCCGACAATGCGCAATAAGACGGTGCGATTGGGACGAATGGGCACCACGCTTGGTTCCTGTCCCTGTTGTTTGGTACTCCCGCAAACAACATAACGGGTCCGATCCCATGGATTGAACACACGGAGGAATGCCTCGTTGTTTCTCGGCTTTGTTGTGTGACGAGTTTGGTTGTTCTTTGCTTTGTCCTTTTTGTTGTTGTTGTTGTTGTTGTTGTTGTGGAGCATCGATAGGGTCTCGTCGTTGGTGTCCTTGGTGTCGTCGCTCCTTTCCCTTTTGTCGCTGCTCTTCCCCGCGCCATCGGACACGGTCCCGGCATCGAAGTGGCGATCGCAATGATACGAACAACGATAACGAGCGTCGCAACAGGGTGCAGTCCAGGATTGGCGAACGACCACGAGCAAGCTCCAGAGGACCACCCCCACCAGCAAGATCGCACTGCTGCGTCTCCGAATGGGATGCCTCCGAGAAGAACGAGGGCGGGAACGTGGATGCGACCGAGAATGCGAATGCGACCGAGAATGCGACCGAGAATGCGACTGAGAATGCGAATGCGTCTTCGTTCGCTCTGGCAAAAACGACCCGGGTGGTGGAACCATTTGCAACGGTGCCGTGGATCTTGTGCCGTGGATCCCGTGTCCCGTCGTTTTGATCCCTAGAAGTAAGTACGAGTAACGCAATCGGAAATGGGATTTGGCTCCTGCGACGATGGATTGGTTAGTTAGGTTTGTTCGTGTTCGATGGATTTTTGAATTGTCGGAAATCGGAAAGAGATGCAAGAGCGAAACGGCCGGCGCGTTCAGCGTACGAGCAACCAAAATACCGAAATACGGTACGTACCGTACGTACCGCAAGCAAATAATACTTGTAGTGCGACTATGTACCGAGCATATCACGTACGGTACTGTACAGTATGAACATATCTGTCTGGGTATGAACGTACGCATATGGGTATGAACATA